TACAAATTGCAACTAAGAATAGCTTAAAAGGGGTTAATTTACGTTTGAAAGGGGGGTTAATTTAACACATTCACTGCGAATGACGCCAATTGGCGGCATCTGGTCATTCTACTTTGTGCGAGTGACGCCTTATGACGCGCATGTGTTTCTCTCAATAAATGTGTTAGTATTCAGTCCGCACTGAACAGAGGTGGTTGTATTTCAGTCCGCACATTTGAATAGTATTGTTCAAGAAGATTTCTGAGTGGTTCGTAATTTCGAGAATTTTGAAACTTTCTACGGCTTATTTAAATATAAGTGAAGTAGACAATAATCTGGCAGGTCCTTCAGGTGTTAAAACGACCGTCTGTATAAAATTAGGCCAGTTATTTATCATTTCAATGAAAAAATGAAGGAACTATATTATCCCGGAAAAAACCTCTCTCTGGACGAATCTATGGTTTTATGGCGAGGTAGACTATTGTTCCGGCAGTACATCGCAAATAAGCGACATAAATATGGATTGAAACTGTATATGTTGACAGAGCCAAATGGGCTTATACTGAATTTTGCAGTTTACACCGGCCAACTGGATGAGATGGGCGCTAAAGGCCATGCACAAAAAGTTGTTCAGCACGTAGCAAAAGATTACCTCAACAAAGGACATTCTATTTATATGGATAATTATTACAATAGCTGCCAATTAGCTAGAACCTTGATAAACCTTAAAACATACTGTACTGGAACTCCACGCAGTGATAGGAAAGGTGGCCCTGTTGAACTTTCGAAAAGTAAACTGAAAGTTGGGGAATCAAAAACCCAGTATTCAGATGGTATAATGATCGGAAACTGAAAGGATAGAAGAGATGTTACCTACATATCCACAGAATTTGAAAATCAAATGGTAGAGATAACTAATAAAAGAGGAGTTGCTAAACAGAAGCCTTTACTAATTGTGGAATACAATAAATACATGGGCGGAATAGATCGTCAGGAGCAGATGATGTCCTACTACCCTTCTTTGAGAAAAACATTATTCTGGTATAAAAAACTTGGTGTTCATATCCTGCAGTTCCTTTTGTTCAATTCTTACGTGATATTTTGCAAATACTTGGGCAGAAAAATGACATTATATGATTACCGTTTAGCTGTGATTGAAAATCTATTGCGTGATATACCACGTAGAATAGAATATATGGTATCCAAACACGTACCTAGTAAAACTGAAGCGGTTGATGCCACAAAGAGAACACCAAGAAAAATATGTCGTTTTTGTTTCCAGAAGAAAATCAGGAAAGACACTGTGTGGGAATGTAAGACTTGTCCAGATAAACCCGGTTTGTGTGTTGATCCATGTTTTAGTCTTTTTCACAAAAAAGTTGAATGAAGTGTTTTTGACCAAAAATGGCAAATGTAATATAATATAATTTTGTTTTAACACTTTCAATGCTAATGACCCGGATCCGTGTCACCTCCCACCTGTAGTCACGTGCTCGTGACACGGATCCGTGTCGTCTGTGTTTGTGA